AGATGTGTATAAGAGACAAGTTTTATATAGTGTGTAGGCCTATATATAAAATGAAAAAGAGGGCCGAGTTGACTCGAAGGTTTTGTATTTAGCGAGCGGTATTGTATTATTAATTGTGAATGTGTCATCGGCGTTCCATACATATACACACATTGGCGGCCGTTCTAGAGGGCGGCCGCTATAGGTAGTGGCCGGCGATTTTTTTTTCCGTACGAAACATTTACATGAAACTTCACTCGGGCCGTCTCGACATGAATCGACCCGAAAATCTCATATTGCAGAATTCAGGTCAAAAGGTCATCAACAACTTCTGATCTGAGAGTACGTCGCTGTCTAATTTTTAAAAATACATTGATGTTACCTTGCTAATACTAATGGGTCGTTTAAAATGACATAATATTTGATTGAGCTGCACGAGTAAAAAAGTGTTATTTTAATTTGAGTTACATACTGTGGCAATTTTTATTCTGTAGTTAGGTCTGGGTTTTGCATAATTACCTAGGCCTAACTAAAAAAAATATACGCTTTCTGGGGAAAGCACAGAGAGTAAGGAAAAGCACATTTCTCGGCTTTTAGAGCTGATAAGAGGCAGCTCTAAAATACTGGATGCCATATTAGACCTGCCAAAATGGCAGAGCACCAATGAATGTATAAATGAGGCCTAAGCCTAGTTATTAATATCAGGCATAGTAATCTGCAGATTCTTGATTACAAGACTAGACCAGGTTAATTACCGTACATGTAATGCCGAAATGATTATTAATTATTATTATTATTATTTTTATTATTAATTATTAATTATTGTTATTATGTTACTAAAACCAACCTGTAGGCCTTCCTTAAGGGGAACTTAGACAATCGAGGAATCGGAGAACAATTAAAAAATCGACGTTAAGGGGAAATAACAGAAAAGATATTCCCCCTGGGCTAGTTATTAATTATAGGCCTAGTAATAGTATACAAGGCTTAGGTCAAGGTAATTAATGCTGAAATTATTATTATTATTGTTATTATTGTTATTATTATTATTAATTAAATATGTTACTAAAACCAACCTGTAGGCCTACCTTAAGGGGAACTTAGACAATGGAGGAATTAGAGAAAAATTAAAAAATCGACGTTAAGGGAAATAACACAAAAGATATTCCCCCTGGGCTGTTATTATTTATAGGCCTAGTAAATAGTATGGTTCTTCATTACAAGGCTTAGGTCAAGGTAATTAATGCTGAAATTATTATTATTATTTATTATTTAACATTAATTACATTACAAGGATAGTTTGGTCAAGTTCAATAACTTCCAAAAAAAAAAGGTATATTTTATTTATTTAATAATATTTCTCTTATGCACTCTATTTTTTATTTCATGTTTTAATTTTTCAAAATTTCAATCAACGTCTGTATGTAAAGCGTGACTGTTGGTGTCAGCCTAGGACCCTAGGCCTATACTAGGTAGGACTTAACTTAGCCTGTAGTTAGGCCCATAGTTTATCCTCTTTCTCTCTAGCCTCTGGTATTACTTTACCTATCAACACTTTATAAAAGGGGGTACTAGCTGTTGTTGTTGTAAATATTATACTAACATTTAATAAACATCCAAGAAGGTCACAGTTAGTTACACACGTACATCCCATAAATCCTTAAGATATCATAGGCCTACCGTAGGTAAACATAGAAAGGGCAATAATAGTAAAACTCGAGCGTCACGACATTGCGAAGTGTCTGCTCTTGTTCCTCGTATCGAACTTAGTCGAGTTAATCCGAGATGGCCCGAGTGAAGTTTCATGCAAATGTTTCGTACGGAAAAAAAAATCGCTAGCGGCCGATATGGGCCTACTCCCGCTCGTCTCCCTATAGTATGATAAGGCTTAGCTTAAGGCTGACTTAAAATCACAGATTAAAATCAAAATAAATCATTAGCAATACAGTGCTAACAAATAATATATATGTGTTAAATAAATACGACATACCTTGCCAATACTGGCAATACAGTACTCTGATTTGACAAACTTAGTTTCTCAAAAC